ATGCTACGTCATTGCTCTATCACGTACGCACAGTCGCTTCGCGCAATATAAGGTTTGCTAGCTGTGGGACGAGTGGGAAACTTACTTTTGGGACGCGCCTCGTACAATGCACAGTGAAACACATCTTCTAACAAATACATAGACAGAATTTGTATTTCCATATAAATGGTACTCATTATATACACATGATACTGTATAGAAAGCCAACACGTGAAGTTTAGACAGCTGTTTTAATCCACTACACGATGTTTCCACCAGTGGAAATAAAGGAAAAATAATGGTATAAATACATCGCATAACAGCTCTTGAAGCACAAAACCTTTCTCGGAAGCAAGAACAAATAACATTAAATTGCAAGGATACTGCATTACTACAAAATTTATAGTATATAAACTTACCTTGGATTTTTTTTTAACAAGCGTCTTCCTTTGGTTTACATTTTTGTCAGTTTCACAGATAACCTTGCCTTCATTTCTCTTCTTCAGTCTCACTAAACTTTGGGATTCAAAATCTGAATCATCTTCAGAAGAAATTTCAATTACATCAGTTGTCATTACTGGTACATAACTGTCCTTAAGTTTGTTGCCACTTAAATTATTATTATTATTATTATTCACACCTGCAGTAAGTCTTGGCCGGTTACTCATTCGGCTTGTTAACCAACCACAGTGTTGAACAGGAAATGACTTGCACTGCTTTATTTTTTCATCAGATGCGTTCTGAGGAGGGTTATTTGTATCATGTGGAGATAAAATTACACTTTCATTAGATATTGAAGAAATATTTATTTTCCTGTTTCTTACAAGAGGCTTCATAACTGGTGAATCATCATCTGATGTTGGAGCTCTGCAAGTAACTCTCTCTTTCTCACTGATACCCTTGTTATGCAGTACTGTCCTCTCCGAGCCAAAAGAGACAAGCCAATCTGCCTGGCCCTCAAAATTTTTACTTCTACTCGTTTCCTTCTTCGTGTCACAAAATACAGCGTTGGAAGCAGCATTAGAAACTTCTGCATACTGAATTTCATCCCTTATGATTCTGGATGGACTTTCCCTATCAATATTTCTTCTCTTTGATTCTGCAGATGATTTATCTAGTGAACTTCCTACAATTTTTACTGATAAATTTTCCATGCAAGTAAACTTAGCTGATTCTTTTAACTTATACTTTGAACTCATGCGTGAAAGTAATGGCTTTCTTACTGCAGTGGTTGGCAGACTATTACCGACAACAGATTCAGATATTTTTGGTACTAAGGTTTTAACTGAAGCAACCCCAAAGTCGAGCACTGGATCAACTACTTGTTTTTCTGCAATGCCATCCTCCGACTCAACAACTTCATGGTTCACAGATCTGTCACTATGTGTTTCTGGTACAATGTCCACTGCACACTCTCCCTGAACAATCGCTGAAGTTACTGGTGAGCTCTGTTTACAGGCAGTGAGGGTACAACAATCCACAGCTAAATCAGCAAAAATATCATCATCACTATCACGAAGATAATCATGTTCCAAGTACTCTTCTTCCGATTTCCTATCACCATTTAATGACACATCTTGAACTGCAGGGCATGTCATTTTATTTGTTGGGCTATGAGAATATTTTCTTATCTGAGAACAGACGATTGGACATCCTGGTGATGTGGCATCTGAGGGTTTGTCTTTAAGAGCATAGTTTATTGAATCTGAAGACACATGTGCTATGGTATGTGATTTACTGAATTTGCTGGGTACATCACAGGAGAGGACATTTTCAGAACACTCTTGTACATGTTTACTTCTTTCTTCAGTGGCCATGGCTCCTTCCACTGACTCACATGGCAATACTAACTCTTCAACATCAGTAACAGTGTTCTGCTGTGATGTAACCTGAAATTCTTTCCTGTTCTCCATACTTATCGTCTTACTGACCATACCGAGGAGTTGTGTGACAGTGTACATTGTAGAGTTCAGTGTGGTGCTTGTACAGACTTCTTGATTCCTCAAATGTTCCACCCTTTTTGCATCAGATTCCAAGTTAAAAAGTTCCTGTGTCACACCGAACAAATCAAAGTTAGGTCTTGGTGGACTTGGAACGTTAGATACAAGTGAATTCAACAGTAGCAGGTCTTCACAGTCACCAGCCATGACAGTGTCCACAGACGTCTCACCCTTGACTTCCAGCCGCTGGGTTCTGCTTGAAGTCAAATTTCCCCCTTCTTCTTGTACAGTCCTTAAACATCTTGGGAACAGATTCTTCTTATGAGTTTTTGGTGTTGAGCATACGGGTACTGTCCGTGTTGGTTTGAGAATGACATTCTTTGGCGCAGAACAAAAGATGGGTGACACAGGTGAGAACAAGAGATTACAAGGTTTGTTTGGTGTTTCCTTGGGAGAATGGTTTGTTGAATCTAAACAACTTTCCATCTGTCCACCTCTTAGTGGTAAATGTTCTATGTTACGTGGTTTATTGGCTATGCCTGCTGCAATACTGGAAGGACACATACCTGGAGATTCCTGCACATCTTCCATTTCTCTTTTTGGTGTTATCATACTGTCTCTTCTGCTTTCGATTTCTACTAAATCTGAATTTCTGTATCTATTATGAGGGCAAACGTTCACATCACTGTGTGAAGTCTTTTGATCTACTTCAGGAACTGCCACTTCATCTTTCAAGTTGCCAATGGGATTCCCAGGAAGCAGCTCATCCTCAAACAAGCACTTCTCAAACAGATCGAAGTCCAAATGAAAGTTAATTTTCATGTTCCCGCCATTCTTTTGAGACTGTACCTGACTGGCACTTTCAGGGTTGCAGTCAATGGTAAGTTTTTGTTTGATAACAGAGATGTCAATGTTGTGATCAAAGCCTTCATTAACTGAACCATTTTCCAGGTCCAGAAACTGCCTTAAATCAAATGCATTCACATTAGCCTCAGTGAAATTGTCCAGAGCACATGGATCAAGAGGCTTGTAACATCCACTGTCTTCTGTCTTATTCCTAATGGCAGATGAACAAGCCATTATATGATGGCAGTAAAATAAAGAATTTTTGCAAAAATAGCATAAGTCATGACTAGTTAAATCATTCTTTTCTGGAAAAGCTTTATGTCCACTTATTTTTTCTGCCAAAAAATTATGAGCAATTTCACAACTGTGATCATTACACATTTCTTTCAATTCCATATATGACTTTGCATTCGTTTCTCCATCTGCATTTTCCTTCATATCTTCTGCTGTTGTCTGAAGTAATGGAATGCAGCTTGACTCGACAGCTATGCTTTCAAACTGCACAACTTCAGGTTCAGTATAAGCTTTATCAATCTCTTGGTCCTTATTCACACTGTGTTTCTACAAAATAAGAAACAAGTACAAAATTACATGACATCATAATCCAGAAGATCACAATCCAACTACACCAAAAATTATTCATACACATAAACAAACAATACAACAGATTTGAAGGAACAGCTTGTTATCAGCCTTAAACTACAGAATGTATGCTAGATGACTCAGGCAAGTTATATCCAGTTACAAGATATAAACATGTACAACGCTGTCACGTATGCTTGTGTTGGTGTCATCCGAGAAAACAAGCTCCTCCACCTAGCTGTAGTGATGCAGTGTGAGGGACAGATGTGTGTGCATGTTCTCAGTCTTTTGATGACTATTTTGTATAAATGAGAAAATAAATTTGATGGAGAATTTGCCAGACAGTAGGCTTCAACAAACTGAGCAAAGCAGCATCATGTCAAATGTTTAGAGCATGGAGCTCTGGTAAACAGGCATGAGATACCAGTCTGCTCTCAGGTGTACTGGTAGGGCATGGGGTTCCAGATGGTTTCACGTCTTTCACTGAACCTGTAGTTGACTAAAATTTTGTAAACTATGCCATTATGGTGATGCGACATATCGTGAATTCTAAAATGCCTTAAAAAATTCTGCTGTTACCATAAAAGATTTACTTAATAATAAAACACTCTACACAAGGAACACGTTGTATTCTTCAGAAATCAACTTTAAACCCGAGGCTCCTTGCCAGCTAATCTCCCAAACCTGTTCAAAGTTATTAAGCTCCACTGTGCATGTACATACACATTTATTACACTCCATGGACCCATAAGTTAGTTAGATGACAATAGCATCTGGATAAAATAAATACATATTTAGTACAACTCAAACAATTATGGGCATTTCACATAAAATAAGCATAGGGTTTACATAAAGTAGTAAATTGTTATAAATAAATAAATAAATCCATTACTTACAGTATGTGTAGCCATTATTTGCAAATAAAATCTTTCAACTGTTTCTAACAAACTCCGCACATTAAGCTGTAAAATCTCACCCCACAGACAATATAATATGAGCTTTTAACAGTTGTCGAAAAATTCAATTCAATTCAATTCAATTCAATTCAATTCAATTAATTTATTTACGTGTTTGCCAACAGCAAGAAGCCAATAACAGGCAAACACTGATAATATATACAATAATAGTGAAATAAAAATTAAAAATCTTACACAAACGGATTAACTAAACTTATAAATATACAGTATTAAATATAACTGCCAAGTACAGGCAAACCCAAAATAGAAACAATATTAACACAGAGCAAAAAATGAAGGAATATAAATAAAAACAAAATAATCCACGTAGGGAACACTAATATAATTGTAAAACTTTAAAAAATATAAAAAGACAGATAACCAAGCTAGATCATTTCCCTTGTTGAGAACGTTCGCTCAAGGGAGACAATGTTTGTGCTAAATACGTCCAAAGATTTACATACGTCATTTGCAGCGATGACGCACCTGGCTGAAGGACTATGCCTTAGTGCACTGCTCACACACAGTAATAGCATCTCATATTAAAGTACCAGAAGTGTTGAAAAATTACAGGTAAGTTAACATTTTCTGCTATAAAAACAATAATTCTATGAACACTGAATAACAGATACATACAAGACCTGAATTAAGATGAGTTCCCACTTCACACTCTGAAGTAGGAGACCTAACTCTTCGCTTCACAAAATGTTTGCCCTTCCTCCTTTGTTTTAGCCATATCAAACTGTCCTGTTCCTTGGACAACACACCTGCACAAACAGCAACAATAAACACATTACACCAAGAAACATTTATCTTATTAATTAGTATATTGTTACATTTTATTATTCTATTTTATAAGAAAAAAAATTATGTTGATGGGGATTAACATTATAAGACAGAATGAATGACGAGTTTCCCACACAGTTTTTAAACTAAATAACCATTAATCATGAAAATAATGTCTCTTTTAAACACTGCACCAACTAGAACCACAAAAAGAACTCAGTTATAACTATAATACATTATACAAAAGTCATTAAGGCACTTTAACATACATTAATGATATATCATAAATCTGATATCATAAGCAATTTTGTGGAAGAACTTGACATGCAAACCTAGTAACAGCTGGCACTCTGGAATTGTAAATTCCTATTCTATGTGAAAGTCACCTTCTGTTTGTGCGGACTCTACTGGACACTGTAGGTTTTCAGCATACTGAAGGAGTTCTGTCAGCATTCTACAGTCATCAGTGTGCCTCACCAACACAGAAGATTGCAAAGTCTGTTGCCATTGCAACCATTTTCCGAGGTCCAATTTTTGGGAGTCATCTTGCTGGTTGGAAACCCTGTCCACATTGAAAGCTTGGTGAAGCTCACCTAAACAATTAGCACAAAAAGTACCATTGACTAGACATGAAGTTAGGACACATAACAAATTAACTGATATAAGAAGTTTCTACCTGAAATAATTTCCTGATTATAAAAATTTGTATAATTAGGCTTCTTCTACATAATTTTGAAGTTATTCTTCTCTGTTAAAATATTCAACACACATTTTATTTTCTGCGTTCAGAAGATGGCCAACATGGCTGAAAAGTCATCATAACATTTGAATACTGGATTATTAGGCAGCCTATGAAAAAGGCTGGAAATATGGGAAAGAAAAAAGAACATTGAAGAGGCGTGCCGTGTTTGTCGATTTGTGAAATCGGCTGCTATGTCTTGTCGACAGCAGCTGAATCTCTGTGCAAACTCACCCATGTTCAGCACCACAAAGTTAAATACAGACCTCTAATCACTTTTGTCTTCCTCTACACTGCCCCAGAGGAGGTATCGTGTGTAAAAGTCTCCCAGCAGTAGAAGAGGAGCAGGGACCTGGGAGAAAAAGTCCTTGAGATCTGCCAAGCTAACAATAGTGTGGGTGGGAGCGTTGTGTCAAAGAGCTCAGGGAGCGACAGGTTAGTCAACCTATCTTGGAGTCGAGCTGTCACTGGTGGAGTAATATGCTAGAGTATGCTTGAACAAAGTGGTTTATTACATGTGAAGAATATCCTTTCCAGCAGTTTTGCTGCTTAAGGCTGTAGCAATAGCTAGCATCTTACTAGAAGCAATGTACCATCCAAGAACGATTAAACAGAGCTTTGAATCCAGTGAGTTAGGAGAGTATTCTATTGTCAGTTCTGATTTCAACAAGAAGTGGCAAAGTCAACAGCCAAGAAGCATTCTTCACAGGTCGTGTAATTTGGTCAAGCACCTACTCAATGTAAAATTGGTCATTGTCCTATATGGGTTCTTCTGTGTCAATATCATGAGAAATAACGGTACTCAACATCTAAAATAAGACAAAGACTCAGTCACCTTCTGATGTTTGTTTGGGTCTGGTTAAGAAGATGACAGGCACAAAGAAACTATATTAATTAGTCTCCCCTCCAGAAGGTATGACATCAGCCTGCCATCAGGTGGGCAGAAAAGGAAGGGCACAGAGTACCATCACCCCCAATCTCAGGAATCATGTCAGAGAAGAAAAGCCTCACTGGGAAGCACCAAAATGCAAGATCATATTTTGGCAAACATGACATTAAGACTTTACCATGTTCCCTTTCACACTATCTCATGCACAACAAACCTGTAGGGAAGGCAGCAGAGTGCCAGACTCCTTGGAGCCTACAAGAGTCTACATGAATTGAGATCAGGTATTTTATCCCTGATCTTGCAGCGGGGGCAGTGAGAAGGGTGCATTTAATATTCACTTCTAAGCTCTTCATGGGGACATACATTTTGGAGTTTGTGCTGAAGACCATATGGCAAGACCACGGAGACAGGACATATCCCTCCTGGCGAGGCAAAAGTTTCTAAACCTCTAAACTTACAGAGCCTTTAATCTACATACTGAGAATACATACAGAAGTAAAGAGGAAGCTATCACATGTGCAGCACAGTTCAGACATGGCAGGTGTGTTAATCTTGAAAAGGGGCCAGCCGAGAAGACTAAAGAGATGCTTATTGGTACGGCACAGATGATGCATGAAAATGGTGGAAGGTAAGACGATGGATGGAATCGACATTTCCACCTCCCACATCAGGATGTGGACCGACCTACCTTGACGCAGCATTTTATGCAGAATAAATAGACTGGTACTAGCAGAATCAGAAAAGACTGCTGTGCAGTTGGCTTAGGCCTCATGCAAAACAGCGATGCCTGAAGTTAGCAAATATAATATATACTGAGCTTCACAGGCAAACAAACACATAAGAGACACGAGTCGTCAGAAACGTAAAGTTGTATAGTATAATAGTAATATGGGAAAGACTATAAACAGATATAGAAAGAAAATATGAATTAGTCTTTTATATGTAAAGCACACTTACGTTTTCCTTTTGAATGTAGTTCCTCCATGTCTCGAAACCTATCAAATGCTGGAACTGTTCTTCCACCCCAAAAATCTGCTAGCTCATCCTCTGTGCAGTATGGTGAGCTTACTTCCTTCCTTCTCAGTCCTACACCAAGTTAAAACAGAGAATACGTAGATCTCATGTAAGAAACAAGTATGTGGATCTTGGATAGCCAAGAAATGAAGGAACATTTGCATTCAATACATGTTTACAGGCAAGTCTATAACCTCTAAACACTGAGAAATACTTACAACTTTATGTTCCTTATGGAGCTATGGATAAGAACACTAAACGGAGAAAAGCCTTAAATGGAGGTCTCCACAAGAACCTATTATTACATGCAAGCTTATGAGTCATCCACCAATACAACATACAGTGTACCATACTCTTACGTATGAGACTATGACCTAATGCAGCACGGCTGGAAGGAGTCTGTTGCAAAGTGGTAAAGTGTTCTCACCCACACTCACCAACTCACCAAAACAAGACCGCCCATACAAGCACACGCGCGCACAATTTAATTTTTACATGTTGCAATTAACAACATCAAACAAACCACTGATCTGGAAACTTTTTGAATGTATTCTGCACATAATCAAAGCATATACAGATTTATGGGAATACACACCACATCAAACTTTTGGGAAGAAAATTAAAATAAATAAAATGTCATTTACAAGCCTTATCGAAGTTTTAAAATCAATTAAAATTTTTGAAGTTCAAATGACAGTGACTATAGTGATATGATGACAACCACTTTACCTTTTCTGTTTATCCACCATAGTTTAGGGAACTGCCTCCCCCCCAACCTCTCTCTCTCTATACATATATTTATTTATATGTTTATAACAAGAAAGAAAGAGAAATAACACCCGCAGACTGCTAAAATAATCGCACCACATTCTTTTCCCCACCTCAAGCAGTGCTTCTAGCATAACATTTCAGCTGAATTTGATAACTAGGATATTTAGATGAAATATAGATGCATTACTGACAAAAGTAGAGAATACAGCTACTCACTGTGGTAACTGATGAGCCCAGACCTAGAGAACTATAGAAGAAAACAGAAACTTGTGTGAATAGTACAGGTAGCCCTTGATTTACGCCGGGGATACGTTCCTGGACGAACCGGTGTAAACTGAAACTCTCTTATAATGTAAATCAATGGGAAGTCAATGACGTGTGTTCCCAGCACCCAAACATTGACGAGTAATACAATGGAATTACATTTAAAGCTCTGAAATAACGTAAATAAAATAAATGGAATTTAAAAAATATATTTTATACACTTACAATCAGCAATTCGTTGGTCCCAGCGATTGACTGTGATTCTTTCATGTGATTGATGTGTACAGTCATCTCTGCTGTTATGCGATAGTTGCATTCATGTAAGACGCCGACCTATAGAAAATCGTGTAGTAAAAATAACCCCGGTACCTCCGCAGAGATTAAATTAGCCCTTTGAAAGTTTAAAGTGCCAGGAATGAAATTGCATAGGAGCAAACTCGCATATGCAAAAGTTTGAATTTCACAAACAGCTTTTATCGATTCATCGATCTCATTGGAGCAAATTCGCGTTAACGAAACATACGTAATTACAGAGATGACTGTATTTATAATTTTTATTCAAAATCAGCGATGTAAGAATTACGATTTAGTATAAGAATCAGTACGAGACACATTTCAAAACGTTATAAATAATAGTAAAATATATTTTTTCCACTTTTTTACTTGCTGGTTTCAAAATTGGCGTTATTCTGAATTGGCGCAAATCGAGGGCTACCTGTTTATGGACGGAACAAACCTGAACTATGTGCACTGCACACGATTCAGAACTTACCTATTACCTTACTGTTACTTGGATTCCCCATCAGTTTTCGAATATCCTGAAGCCTCTGCTTCTTTTTGTTTAAATATGTCTCTGCATCAGTGGGTACTGTGATGAACATACGGTGACACTGAGGCTCAATACCTGGTGGGATCATTCTTGGATTATTCCCGTACATATGGGCTCTGATGGAGCTCCCTTCAAGAAGTTTCTTGTTCATTGTCTGGTTCTGGTACATACTTGTCTTAAAATTCTGTCAACAAAGAACTACATAGGGTAAGACACTGCAGCCGAACAAGCACCTTTGGTGTCCAAAACTCAAGAGTATTGTGCACACAGAGAGGAAGCAGATTACTTTATTGCTCAAAGTTTTTCTTTTTTATTTAAAGATCACTTGTGGGAAAGTATATGCAGGACAGAGGGGCTGATTCGCAGAACCATTTTGCAAGAACACATATGACATCTATCCTTGTTTTAGTCAGAGAAATACAGTGGCAGAACAAAGTCAAGAATATTGGTTCTTCATTCAACATTAATGTGGCTGATCACCATAGAAGATTTCAGTGCAAAATGGCAGAATGGTAACTGTGTAGTGAGACTGCAGAGATGAGTCCAAAACAATACTAAAATTCCATTCATTACAGAAGTCATTATACAAAGTACAATCCAAGGGCATTAATCATCCAAAACCAGAGTTCCTACTATCCACATTTAGGACACGTACAGAATGCTCCTTGCCTTCAGTAACCAGCATCACAATGCGGCCTTCACGCTGGCGCCCAGTCCGCCCCATTCTCTGCACGAGCCGGATAGGAGACTTGTGTGCATCAAAGCACACAATGAGATCAACTTCACCAATATCCAGACCTTCTTCCCCCACACAAGTGGAGATGAGTGTATTGTAGCCTCCTGCCTTGAACTTATGCATTACCTGTAACATATACAATGAACTACAATAAAATAAAATTAAAAAACTTATTACATAATGAACCAAGAAGCAGTACTTATAAGAGCAATAATGCATGTATGATACCAGATATTTTAGACATTCACTTGCACTTTCACAATGAATAATACTAGCACTCGCTGATAAAAACAAGAAGAAAAGAAAAAACCTTATCATATGCTGCTGAAAATCTTCTTCATATATGGCAATTGTGGCCTTTTGGATTGTGTTAAGTAGCCTTGTGGCGGTAACCAACATTTTGAAGGAACCTACCACCTCCGCCTTTAGGGCTGAAGTTTGTCAGATCGGGAATAAGAACTGTATCCAGAGGAAAAGGAGGAAGATGGCGGTAACCAACATTTTGAAGGAACCTACCACCTCCGCCTTTAGGGCTGAAGTTTGTCAGATCGGGAATAAGAACTGTATCCAGAGGAAAAGGAGGAAGATGGCGGTAACCAACATTTTGAAGGAACCTACCACCTCCGCCTTTAGGGCTGAAGTTTGTCAGATCGGGAATAAGAACTGTATCCAGAGGAAAAGGAGGAAGATGGCGGTAACCAACATTTTGAAGGAACCTACCACCTCCGCCTTTAGGGCTGAAGTTTGTCAGATCGGGAATAAGAACTGTATCCAGAGGAAAAGGAGGAAGATGGCGGTAACCAACATTTTGAAGGAACCTACCACCTCCGCCTTTAGGGCTGAAGTTTGTCAGATCGGGAATAAGAACTGTATCCAGAGGAAAAGGAGGAAGATGGCGGTAACCAACATTTTGAAGGAACCTACCACCTCCGCCTTTAGGGCTGAAGTTTGTCAGATCGGGAATAAGAACTGTATCCAGAGGAAAAGGAGGAAGATGGCGGTAACCAACATTTTGAAGGAACCTACCACCTCCGCCTTTAGGGCTGAAGTTTGTCAGATCGGGAATAAGAACTGTATCCAGAGGAAAAGGAGGAAGATGGCGGTAACCAACATTTTGAAGGAACCTACCACCTCCGCCTTTAGGGCTGAAGTTTGTCAGATCGGGAATAAGAACTGTATCCAGAGGAAAAGGAGGAAGATGGCGGTAACCAACATTTTGAAGGAACCTACCACCTCCGCCTTTAGGGCTGAAGTTTGTCAGGTTGGGAATAAGAACTGTTTCTAGAGGAAAAGGAGGATGATGGCCAATGGGAATGGTAAGAAAAGGGAACGGGAAGGTGAATAAGAGGCCGCGAGCCTCCAAACTGACAAAACAAAACATCTGATCATTCTACCACATCTGACTGCCTCGTTTTTCCATTTTGATGAACAAACAGATGGAATTGCCATGTGTTCATTCCCATTACCTTTGTCTGTTAATTTCGTCATGGAGGACTTCAAAGAATATGAACTCAATAGGACAATCCCTAATCCCTTCTGCTCATTCTGACATGTTCATAATCTCCATCACAACAGCCAAATCACCATGGAGACAGAGGGTCATATCACCTTCCTGAACATTGATGTATATAGCAAACAAGATGGCTCCTTGGGACACAGAGTGCACACAAAGCCCACCAACACAAAACAACAAAAACAAAAATGTTAGGAAAAGAAAAAGGTGAAAATGGTACCTGAGTAAATACAGGCCTGCATGCATCATCACCCCCTTCCCACAAAACAAAAACTAAACATTACTTTTGCTTACCTTAAGTTGCTGTTTTTGAGTAAAGCCCTTAGAGTTCTTGCCAGTCGATGATTGACCCACAAAGGTCATTGGTTTAATTAAAGGGTGGTGCTTTTGCAGGATATGGCACACTTCAATAACAATGTCACGATACTGAAAAATTAAAAGTTGCCCTCTGATGTAATCATCCTGCGTTAAAAAAAACTGCATATTCCGATATTATTTCTCCCAATGTCACTTTTCAAAAGTGTTATGCACACATGCAGACACACACACACACATAATACCACACAGTATTGAATTAGTTAAGCATTAGGATAGAATGGTTACTGAAATGGCCTTATAATTTTGAGACATGAGACATCTGCATTTTGTAACTGTTGCCTCCATCACCAAGTGGTAATGGCCCACAACTGGGACCATCATGGTCTATTTGACATCCTGTATCTGGAGAAGTAAATTATCAGTTAGACTCGTATAATGTTGGTTAGTAACAAAGACAGTTTACTTTCGTTCTCTAAACTCTTCGCGTACATTGTTCACTTCACACTTCGCCTGTAACACCTACAAATGAAGATACTAAGCAAGTTTAAATCCATTTAATAAGAGTGCACTTAAAGAACCAAGAACTAACCTGACAGAATATCATGGCTCGGGTGACAACATTCTTCTCCTGGAAACTTTTAAAATGATGCACCACAATGTCTTGCAGCTTCTCCACCTTTGGATGCGAGTACACATATGATGCTGATTCCTGTCCACTATGTGGCTGACGAAAAGAACGAGAAAAAAGGATAAAATTAATCTTGACAGGCATATTTAATAATATATAAAGACACATAAGAAGCATATTGTTTTTTGACATTTTGACATAAATACGTCTATAAGGAAGGGTCATTCGGCAAAAAAGGGAAACGAAAAAGTGTAACTTCATTGTTATGTTACCTAGGAAACAAACCTCATCTGTTTACTCAGCATTGTTGTTACCTAGGAAACGTTACATTACATTAAAATACATTACTTTACATTACATTCAGCTACCACAGACCCATTTTAAGCGTAACTAATTGAAGTTGATTAAGCAAAGTCTTAATCAAACTTTACTCAATTGTAAAGCGGGTATGGAACCATGGTTCCACTATCACTTTTTATCCCCTAACCCAATGACATACTGACTTATATAACTCACTCATTTAATAATGAAAGAAAAAAGAAATGTTCCATACCATCACAATCACAAGATGAACTATCACTAGCAACTTCTTGACACTCTTCGCCCACAACATGAGCGCTGTAACACTTCTATTGAGACATGCGACTACTAAATATTTCTGCGCTAGTACCTGCTGTTTATGCTGCATTTCATCAAACACCAATAGTACTTACAAATGGCATGGACGTGTCAGGCTCAGGGTCCACTTGGTTGTCTGGTCCAAGCTTTTCCCTCAATTCATCCAGTAACTTCTCTAAATCACTCTCATTCTTTAGATACGCGTGAACAACTGCCGTTCCTCGATTTTCATTTAACACGCCTGCAATACAGAACCAATCTCATGACTGCTCAAAAAGATTCTCTTTCATCCTAAATGGAATGAATCTCACAACGATAATTTTACAGATTAATTAATGCAGGTAGGAAAATAATTATTCTATTTTGAAGTGGTTACCTGAAGATATGAAAACAACAAAGAATAAATAAACATTCTCAATTCTTGTACTTGCAATTAACAGCTTATTACAAGTCGTCCTTTATAAGAACAAGTCACTGTTGCTGCTTCAACATGTCAACTTATATCACAAGTACTTGTCACAAAAACAATAAAGAATGTAAAGTAAATAAATAAAACATACATCACCTTATACACTGATTCTAAATATCATAGTTGAAAGTACTGGTCTACCATTACAAAGAACCTATCTTAATTGTTTTTGTCCTCCAAAATGGCAAATGACCCGAAATTCAATCCACAGCATCTTCTACTTTGCCCTATGGCGAGCCCCCGACTTCAAAGAGGTCCAAGTACTCTGTCATAGTCTGAATTTATGCACATATGAAAATTCTGAAACAGTGGCTGCTAATGAAATTTTACTACATCAAAGATCTTATTATCAAAACTCAAAGTAGGAAAAATGCTACATTTCCTTTAAGGTCTGTTATCCATATCAGTACATACCAACCAAAAACTTATGAAATGAGCGTAGACCATACAGTGAGAGTAACTCCAGTGAATGTAAAAGAGTTATGCACACAGCAAATCTTGCCTCGATGTGTCCAGACTGTGCTCGTAGTATATGTGATGGAGGATTCTGACGGAACATGTCTCTGGCTTTCAGTATCTACAGGGAAGAAACAATATAGCATTTACACAAAAATTAATAGTTCCAACATAGACATAAATACACACAAAATAAAACTCGCGTTGTGCTAATCACTGACAGTAAATGCTAACTCCATGGAGTGAAGAAATTCTTGAGAAGCTATCAGTACACTCATTTAGGCAAGAAATCCCCTGCCCTTTATGAAACCCAAAGGCTCAACCAGTAACTATCCTGAGTTAAATGGATCCAATCTATACCCACAAACCATACATCCAAAATTTCCATCTGAATAAAACCCTCCCACTGATATTTAAGTCTTCTGAGTGGTCTCTACCTTCAGGATTTCCAACAAAAGTTTTAAATTTCCATAACAGCTTATCTATTACAAATCATACACCAAAGTTTTCTCAATACTGTAAACCGGTCGACCCCAAACTTCGTGATGCCATGGAACCTCTTCGGACCCAGTGCAATGTCAACAGAACCCTATGAAGGCTACGAAAGAAGGAAGACTGACTGTATAAATATCAAAATGTACAAACGCATATCAGTACTATATTCCAGGACAACTTTACAGTTCAATTTCCAAATCTGGTATGGAATTCACAGAAACAAAATATTAAAGATTAGTAACTGAACACAGCTTACACCTTTTCAGGCTTCATCTGATGATGTTTCCAGTGTCTCAGATAATTTTCCTATGGAGATTCTGGCTCCAAATAATGCAATTATTTACCATACATTTTGGTAATGTTTGCCACTCACATGCCATCTGTATAAACACTAATGAAAACCCTGTCAGCTTCTTATTGCCATTTAACTCTGGTGAGGTCTCATCACAGAACTCTTGAGATTCTGTGGAACACAGTCCGAGATTTACTATGACAAACCACACGTCTCCTTCTCGCAAAAATACGTACCCCAAACTTTGTGCGCTCTGCCATACAGGACTTTATGCATTCTTAAGAAACCCAAATGTCTGTCAAGTATCTGCAAAATAAAAATAAATAAATAAATCAACCTCCAACTTCTTAAAGTTTCTGTCCCTTCTATTAAGGTTCTTTTTTATACAGAGAATGGCATGAGAGATCACACTCTAAGTGACTTTTGGTGTCAGCCAAACGTATTTTATAAACTGTGATAAATTTTAGCCATCTCTGAACAAGATCTCTTTCATACCGTCTCCTCTGTATAAGTTTACCTGTGTATAATTAAAACAAGACGGATTCTAAAACTCATATTCAAGAACCAAAGGTCACTTAAAATTTTTCACATTTCTAAAATTGTAGTTTCTGATATGCAAAGCTGCATGTAAGTGCATTCAGTATTTGTAGGTACAGTTTAAATGTTTGGCTACAGTGAGTCTGTTATCATCAGTTGCCATGACAGCAACTGCGCATTCTCTGAGTCAATATTCTTAAGGCATAAATGACTCAAACATCACTACAATAATTTTTTTAAGGGAACAAGGTAGTGTAGTATATTATTTTCTAACAACACAAATTAAATGTTTATACACTCTACAGGCTACGAATACATGCATTTTGAGGTTACAAAGTTTTTTATTCAGTAACATTTTTAAGTTTGCAAGTCTTTATGCCAATCTGCACATTTGCCATTACTCTGATTCAACTACAGACATCCATGTTGTAAATGGGCTGTTTTCCTTAAAATAGTGTATATCATGCCAAAAGATAGGTCTCAATACATTTAATCCTTTGACTGTCATGAGAAAGCCAAGACTGTATGGTAGTATTTACAGGTACTCGGAAAGAAAAGTTTCCTACCCTGCAAAATCCATTTTTCTGAGAAAGGAGAATCTTAATCCACATTTCAATCAACATAATTTTGACTCTTAAATATGTGTTCAATGACAGAAGAAAATATGCTTTACCACGGCACACAGAACACCATTTTCTTTTCTGCTAGACACAGTACCACACCACCTTTCCTGCTTTTTGGAAGTTCTTCTCCAAGCGCAGTATACAGATTGTCTTCTGTCCCATGTGCAACGCCGAAGACCCTTTCTCTTCTTTCAGAGAACTGTTCATTACCCAAAACCTTGATTACAATGGAATTAAACTGAAATCAAGACAGTTTTCTCTGATGTGTACCCACTGCAGAGAAATGACCGGGTTCAAAACCTGGTCAACTGGTGATGTTAGGAAGAATACACTGTATTTATTTAAAATAGAAACTTAAAGAATAAGAAAGCAGCCATGTGCAATTGTTAACACTAATCAAAACCCCAAGTTTGGAAACCAGCATCAGTGTAGATGGACTGAGAAACAACACACCCTACTTTAATACATAACAGTCAATGCCTGACTGGACAATTGCGTTGTTTGTGAAATGTGGGAAAAAATTTAAATCAAGTTCTGATGGTGGTGACCACGAGTTACAATGGCACCTATGGTGGAGTCTGGTAAAGTCTGCTTCTGGTGTCGTTGGTTCTGTGTTGTTTGGCAGTAATCTCGCATCAGTCTCTATGAAGATGTTTTCACAATTAATTTTGAAATTGTATAAATTTTGCACTTTCATCATGATACGTAAAGATAAATTTTTACTGCTCAACAAAAAAAGTGTCATTCCCATCAACTTTGATGGGTCATACGTTGTTTCTAGTGTAAATAACAACAGCACATCTTCAACGCAAGACGTATTAGCTTTGGTATTAGGAGCTTTAAAGCAAGTGCTGCTGGAAAATACTTTTAATATGTATTGACTTTAATAACAGCCATTTTCTGTGGGGAAGAAAATAACCTACTATAATAGCATAGAACACAATGTTTATCCCATAAAGCTATACAAATTTTGGCCATATTGCTTATAAACCAATGAATATTTAATAAGGTGCTTTTATATATGTTAAGCAAACTAGTTAACATAGCATAAAACTACAATTTTGGATGAAATGCAGGTCTAAATAGAAGATAATAAAAGTCTAATGAGAAGACAGAACGGTACAACAGAAATAAAAGATACTTTTCTTATAAATATCCATAAAACTATAGTTATATCTACGCTGATCAATCATTTACAATACATGCAACAGTGATACACAGTAAAAGACAAGAGGACAAACATACCAGCATGAAACGTTCCCTAACACTTGACAGATAAGTCCCAAGAGACACAACAACAGTCTCGACATGGCGCTTATGTGTAAAAACTGTTACATCTGGAGAATCTTCATTACGAAGTTCCATGTGTGATATCATCAAATTTCTCACAATCTGGAAAAGAGTAATATTTAACCAAGAATAAGTAGTGAACTGAAGATTCTACATTTCCTTTCTACAAATAACCAAACCTGTTGCATAAGTCACAAAATCACCCCTCATTTCTTATAGTCCTGAATATTTTCTGAATGTCAGACAAATCCTGCAAAAGCAAGTAACTCCAATTTTTATCCTGCATACAAAAAGAGAGAGAGAGAAGACAAAATGAGTAAGTCAAAGACTGTATATTATACAGTCTGACTGAAGATTATGTACATATTTTATGGAAAAGATAGACCAAACAATGTTTATATGAAAGTTGAGAATTCTATAAAACACAGTATCTAGGCCGCTTTGTGAAGATAACCGCAACATTCCTCTGACAAAGTTCCAACAAAGGAGATGTTACACCACTGACTAAACAAACCTGTGTAACAGCGTGAAAGTTACATCCTGGAGTTGCTGACAGCGCCAACACACGGAAATTGTTGTTCAAAGGCAACAAGGCCTTCATCACCTAAACATATCAACACCAGTTTCGAGTAGACACGTATACAAGAGGTGATATTGAGATATTTGTTGCAATTGTCAATTCCCATGGAATCAGGGGTCAGCACCACAACTTAGATTGACAACCAAGTGTTGAAGACAGACGGTTTTGTGGGATATTGTGCCACAAAATCTTGTAGAAGATGACAGACATTTCAGAGGCACTTACTTCCTCCATCATCAGGATGGAGACAGAGCACAAGGTGCAATATCCCAGAAGGCTGTAACCTTCATGCTCACTGCCGTGAATTCTCAAAAAAGGGCTAATACTAACCTGGCAATATGAATAGTTTCCCAGTGCCTTGTGAGCTTCATCCACTACCACACACTTAATGCTCGCAGCTGGACACAGATCAGAAGTCAAATCATTTGTTAACACTTGAGGTGTCAGAAAGAAGACCCGCTTCCTCTTCCAAGCCACAGCCCGCTCTGGAGGAGACATGGAACCTGCACACATCACTCACACATAATACTTCTGTTCTCGTTCTCTAAGGCTAGCCAACATTTCAAACTGCATACAGTGACAATACAAATCTGAAGCTTCTACATTCTCATAGTCTTTGTTCACATCAATATATACTTTCTTTCACTATTTAGGATTTGAGTTTTTCATGGCAGTGGGTCCAAAGATGGCTATCTTCTGAGTTGTTGCACCAGTAATCTGGTAGACTGCATACAGTGACAATACAAATCTGAAGTTTCTACATACTCATAGACTTTGTTCACATCAATATATACTTTCTTTCACTATTTAGGATTTGAGTTTTTCATGGCAGTGGGTCCAAAGATGGCTATCTTCTGAGTTGTTACACCAGTAATCTGGTAGAAGTTTAGCAATGTTTGATGATGGAGGCAGCAAGGAAATCTGTGATGCCAGTAAACTTCTACCAGACTACACAGTGTAACAACCCAAAAGACAGTCACGTTTTATAAATCTATTTATTATAAATCAATTAAAAGACTGAATGTTCTTGGATGGAATCCTTTATAGTGCTCCCCCCTTTTTTCCATCCTCATTTCCTTGTCTTTGGTGATCTCTCTGTTGGTCCCCAAGGAGGGCCGTCCCCTATTCTCTGTCCCCTGAATGTCCAGGCTACATCTGACTCCCCACCCCACCCCTTCTGGCCAAACTGGTCTGCCCTTCTTCCACTAGCTCCCCAACTCTCATCAAATCTTTGCATTTTTCTCTGTTAGTCCAGACAAGGTTCTTCATTATCCAACTGGTTCCTACATCTCAAACTGATTCCTCATGCATGGCTTACTCACTAGCCTGATGATGGAGGCTGCAAACACCTCTGAAACATCAATGAACTTCCACCACACTACATGGCGCAACAACCCAGAAAACAGTCATCTTCATACTTTCCGTCATGAGAATCTGAAATCTCATGCTCTCTAATACTACTTTTGACATTTCTTTAACACATTTTATTTTGTCTAGTTTCTCCCTTATATATTATTCACCATAATATAAATGGAAATATGTACTCCATAAAGTACACCAAAATTCCAAAATTGTTCTTCATACCGTATTCTACCTAAGATGCTTCCACATTCTGTAAGTTGTCTATCAACCAACCCTTTGCATCCATCTCTGTCTTCCCATGGTCACTCCTCAATTTATTTCCATTTTCATCCTCCTCTGCATGAAATATTTCTTAACCTGCTGTTTCCATGTGGATTTTAACCTCTCTCCTAGATGTTCAGCCCTGATGACTGAGGCAGTATGTTTCTAAAAAATTATGATCTCTACCTACAAGTACACATGGCGTTATGACCCAGAAGACAAACGCCGACAACTTCTCTACTCTGAGAAACTGAGGTCTAAGTTAATCATTACCTGTAACCTCAGCTGTATCATCCTTTGGTATTCCCATTACTTTATAACATGATTCAATCTGCTGATGGACTAGTGGTTTAGTGGGTGCCATGAAAATCACCTTTCCTCGTGGGAACCACCGATAGAAGTTGTACATCACCACAGCCGCAATGAAAGTTTTACCAAGACCTACAAAAACGAATCACTCAACACAATAACCAAAACGACTTATTTTTAAAATTTACGAGCACTCGCTTTCAGTAAACAGCAAGTAGAATATTGCTTTATTTCTAACCACAGCAAAATCTCGTTACTACAAACAAGAAGGGACCTCAAAGCATACAATTGACATTTATATTTTAATTATGCCTACCACTTTTCACTGAAGACCTGTACCAACAGATGAACATCAAAATATCATTTCATTGTACAACCTGTAATGGACCAGCCACCTCATATCAGGAATATGCAGGCTGAGATCCTGACCCATGAATCACAGGCGTTCCATAAACAGTCGGATGTCAACACTATTCCTACACAATACTGTTGCAAACATAACATGCATGTAAGTCATTTTAAAACAAGGAGGAACCCCCACCCCCTCCAAGCACCCTAGGATTCCCAATTCTTTTGATCACTAAGGAAGCTCTCTGAAGGAAAACATTTCTAAAGTGATGACAAGGTGAATGCTGAAATGTAATGGTGGGTGCAGATACCGAGTCCTGATTCCTTCTCCACGAAAAACATTCAGGTATCACAGAAACAAATGTCTCACTCACCCTGACAACTGCATGTAAAATTAGAGGGTTTGTCTGTTCTGCTTTTGAACATGAATGCTTAACCCTGCTGGCATCTATTACAAAATAATAAATAATAGTGTAACACCCACAGAAGTTTCTTACTGAACAGCCCTAACTTCAACATTTCTTAACAAATAACGCTAAAATCTTTTTAATATCTCATTCTAACCTGTGGGCAAGCTGACTAATGTATTCTTAAACAGACAACACTTCACAATGTCATATTGGTACTGTCTCACAGGATAATTTGTGGGATATATCCAAATATGTCCAGCTGAAAGATCAAAGCCTTCTGCATCTTTTCCTTCGTAGAGAATAGATTTTGATGTTGTTTGTAACAGATGTTCTGCGGAGACATTAGTTGTGCTGAAACATACATTTCAGTAAACACTGTTAACACATTTTATTCTTCTGATGCCCTTAAGTCTGTCTGTCTGACACACACAGCCACAACTCTAAAATGCATTGGTAATATGTAGTCACAGTCTGTAGCAACGTAGGCAATTCAGTACCTAAGAGACAGGCTCTCTTTTAGTTTGTAGTCTTAAAATGTGACCACTTTTTTACTTTAATTATTTTCATTACATGGATTTTAGAAATATAATAAAAACAATTATATTACTTTGCCAACACGGCTTCATCATGACAATGAGGAAGGGGAAATAAAAATATTTCTGGATAATGTTTTTTAAAAGTGATGAGTGTATTGCTAAATAAAGCATAGATAAATATTTTATGAGGTCAACATATAATGAATCCTGTGTAAACAATCACAAAACAAGTAATGTAACAGAGGGCAATAAGACTGAAGCTGTGCCCATGAAGTCGCACATACTAAATGCATAAATCATCATAAACTAAAAGGGAACGGAAATGGACAACAAATAATACTGTAGCATTTCAAAGAATTCAAAAGATTCTAAATCAAGGTCACCATTAGAATTCAATTCTAAAGGCTTTTGACGATGGTAGATTACACTTAAAATTATTCATTGTCCAGTGACAGAGACTAGCTCTAAGGGACCCAACAGAGTAGGTACCTCTCACCTGAAGATGGAGACAGAACCAGCCTCTGAAACATCGTGGATTTTAAAGAATAGACGATGGAAAAAGTCCTGACAATGAATACTCACCTTTAGAGCTCAGGATATTTTCAGGGATCCTTTGTTGGCTATGATTTCAGAGTAGACAAACAATTAACAAAAGTCAGGTAGAAAAACAAAGTATAAATTTAAAGATGACAAGCGCTTCAACATTTCTTTGAATGAAATGAAGGCTCATCTTCCATTCGTAATTTTAAATTGTACTCACAGGGAAAAAAACAGTTGGGCCAATTAAAAAATGTTTGTCACCACGCAGTTCAGTATCCTCTGTATTCCTATTGACTACCTAAAAATGTAAAGATTAAAATACACAAAACTATAATTTTACCTGCTGTTTTGTATGTTTGTTCACTAAGGTCTAGTCCCCAGTGCCTACTGCTCTGCCCCCATGGGTCTTGTCTCTTGCATCTTGGCCATCAGGCCTGGACACCCCTGTGCTTAGAGCCTCCTGGTTTCATTAATATAAACTGAGATCGTTGTTGAAACTCACTGTTGTGATAGTGTGAACCAAGATCACTAAACTAACTAACTAGATGGCTTACCGAACCTGAAGGTTCATCACCGAACTAACCAAAGCCCTCCACCGGAACTTGTCCTGGGCCAACAAAATCCAGTCTCCTTTGACTCCTATCTCCCATTGATCCCGTCTGACATTATCGTCCCATCTACGTCTAGGTCTCCCCAGCGGTCTCTTCCCCTCAGGCTTCCCCACCAATACCCGGTGCACACCTCTTGTCCCATCCATGCGCGCTACATGCCCCGCTCACCGTAAAAAAAGCACCATTACGAACAAATTAACTAAGCCTCGGACCAGGACGGACTCTTGGGCACCAAGATCACTATTGGAGCAAATGTTTGCAACAACTGAACTGACACTGTTGGAACAGTCAAAATGTGAACAGAAACCATTGATGGATCACACTGTCATAACAATGTCCTCAAATCACACTGCAACGATGACCCTGGATATTGATGTTGCCTTTGATACCACTGCTACATTTGTAATTCCCTTGGTTGTCCTGCTGATGACAACATCCCTGATGTGGCATTAACACCTTTTGAATTTCAGTGCACTCCAAACTGCACACCTTTCCAATTCTGTTTATAAATACCTGCACCAGACTCATACCTGGAAAATGCATCATCCTGGCTTGTTCCTGGTTTCGCAGTTTGACTTTTCTCATCTATGAGCTGCGATTGTCTCAGCGGTATTTCTACCTCCCTATAGTGTCTGCAACAAAATATTCTCTCAGAATTACTGGAACAGAATGTGAGGTAATTATGAAAGAATCACTATATACTTCTAGAACATTAAATAATCTTAACTCCTTTATATCATTACTCACACCTCTGATTGGCGAATGATGATTAATGAATAGCTTGATTTCCGTATAATGAAGTTGTTTTGATATTTACTTAGGTTAGTTTTTGGCACATGAAGGTTATACTTGTACTTTGTATTTATGTTGTGCATGTGTGTGTGGGTTTGACAGATATATAATTGAAACTTATTTTTCAACGTACTCGAAATTAAATCGTAATGCTACTGTACCTAAGGCTTTCTTCCAGAGCTCTTGCCAATAACTTGTCTTCCGCCTCATCTTCCAACAAAATATTGTCAGCTGGCATATCATCATAAAACTCATTGTCGTTCATTAAGTAACGGTTACAAAGTAATCCAATAAACGATTGTACAAAATTGCTTCGAATTAAGAAACCATTATTTCATTTCTTTACACCATCCCTCACCGCTCTGCCTAACAACATATCAGACAAAAATATACGACAGTATAACTACTCATTGCGGTACATACAAACCACGCATTGCCAACATGCGACACAAACTACAGTTGCTATTTCTTCTTAATTAGTTCTAATCGGTAGCGGTTGGTGGCAGCACAAACTTGATCCGTACTATGCTGGCATCTATTGAGTGATGCATAAACTTGATTCTATATTAGTTCTAATCGGTAGCGACTGGTGGCAGCACAAACTTGATCCGTACTATGCTGGCATCTATTGAGTGATGCATAAACTTGATTCTATATTAGTTCTAATCGGTAGCGACTGGTGGCAGCACAAACTTGATCCGTACTATGCTGGCATCTATTGAGTGATGCATAAACTTGATTCTATATTAGTTCTAATCGGTAGCGACTGGTGGCAGCACAAACTTGATCCGTACTATGCTGGCATCTATTGAGTGATGCATAAACTTGATTGTATATTAATTCAAATCGGTAGCGACTGGTGGCAGCACAAACTTGATCCGTACTATGCCGCCATCTATTGAGTGATGCATAAACTTGATTCTATATTAGTTCCAATCGGTTGCGATTGGTGGCAGCACAAACTTGATCCATACTATGCTGCCATCTATTGAGTGATGCATAAACTCAATTGTACATTAGTTCCAATCGGTTTCGATTGGTGGCAGCACAAACTTGATCCGTACTATGCTGCCATCTATTGAGTGATGCAGAAACTTGATTCTATATTAGTTCTAATCGTTAGCGATTGGTGGCAGCACAAACTTAATCCATTCTATGCTGCCATCTATTGAGTGATGCATAAACTCAATTGTACATTAGTTCCAATCGGTTTCGATTGGTGGCAGCACAAACTTGATCCATACTATGCTGCCATCTATTGAGTGATGCATAAACTCAATTGTATATTAGTTCCAATCGGTAGCGATTGGTGGCAGCACAAATTTGATCCGTACTATGCTGGCATCTATTGAGTGATGGATAAACTTGATCCTATATTAGTTCTAATCGGTAGCGACTGGTGGCAACACAATAATTTTCTTTATTTTTTGCTATCCTGTCAAAATAGATAGATAGGCACGTTCTGATTGTGATCACATGCTCACAACTGCTTAGCTTTTGCTCAGCTGGCGTTAGTAGCGGCCTCATAACTATCGTGACTTTTACTTTGGTGGAGAGGATGAGAGTCATTTATCTGTGATTTCGCAGGGGTGGTCCTACGTCTGATTTTACGTTTGTACCATAACACATCATTGTTGTTGGGTTGCCTTTTAAATGGAAAATTCTGAGTAAATGATCGGGAATGTCAATTTTGTTCTATTCTAAATATTGTTCTATGTAGGAATGTTTGAAGCTTACTACGGGGACGTTTCTTGAGTTGGCTACACTGTCCAATCCGATCAGCCAATGATATTCATTGTCGATCACAGTTTAGCCGCATACTATATATATAGGCCTTAACCATAGCAGTGTGAAGTGGGTTTGCTATTGTATGCTCTATTTATTAATGTTAAAGTTCATAAAATGAATGTATACATATAAGAAAAGCTGTGAAAGAGTTACAGGTGAATGCATCGTATGAGTGATAAAGTCACGCTAGAAATGACAGAGCAAGATTCCAGTCTAGACAGCGAAAGTGACTGTGACATTCCATCCGATTTTGGTATTTGCCCATGTGAAGCTGAATTAGAAAGGCTCCCAGACGTTGTAATATTTATTAAACGCCTTCAGAGTTTCATTTATAGGCAGGAATCTAGGTTAAATAAAATACGCAAAGAGCTTGTAGAACACGTAAGTCTTTTGACATTTCTGTGTATTTATTTAACGACTCCTTTTCATTAGCTTAGACTATATAGCGTCAAATGAGAGAATGATAGTGAATAATGAATTGGGAAGGATGTGGAAGGAAGCGATCGTGGCCTAATTTAAGGCACAATCCCGGCATTTGGATGGAGGGACTGAGGAAAACCACGGAAAACCCCTGTCAGGATAGCCGATCTCTGCGGAAGTTCCTGAGTAGAAATGTGTCTTTACACAGAGGAAATTATGTTGCTTTATGTTCATCTAGCTTTATCATGATGCATTGCTTTTTTTAATTGTGTCTGTGGCTTGTGTTGTTTTATCCAGTTCAGTTTTGTACCAGTGTATGATGTCAGATTGTGAGTGGATGTATAGGATCAGTGGGATATGTGGCACATGCAGCAATATTGTTAAATTCGGGATAAATCACGATTATTTTATCCATAATCTGTAATGGTTATTTTGTGTAAGTAAATCTATGATTCAGATTAGGCCTGTGCTCATAATTAATAACTGTTCAGCTGAAGAAAGGGAAGTAGTTAAAAGTTGTTGACAACAGGCATGACAAGAAATTATTCTATTAGTAGCCATGGTAGGGATGTAGTTAGCAGCTCTATTCAACATTAATGGGTGGATGTTCTGTTAGCAGCATATTCAAACCTTATGATAATAATGACAGGAACCTTAAGGCAGTTAGTAAAGATTTCACAAAGGAAAATCATATAATAATTGAGGGGCCATTACAACATTCGTGATGGGAATCTGGTATGAAATTGAGAAGGATTTAGATGACTTTGCCAAAAGCAGTAGGTACACAAATATTGGATTTGTTGGCCCTCTGAAATATGAAGATTGCAGTCTTCTGGGTTGTTGCGCCGTGTAATATGATAGGTGTTTACCAACATTTCAGAGGTGCTTGCTGCCTTCATCATCAGGGCAATGATGCCTAATTATGGAGGCAGGAAGGACCTCTGAAACATCAGTAAAAATCTACTATACTTCATGGCACAACAACCCAGAAGACAGCAATCTTCAAACTTACCGTTGTGAAAACCTCAAATCCTACTTCAGAGGCATCTTGACAAGTTCGAACTGAGCAGGTGAGTAAGGAGCATAAATCTGAGACTTAAACATGCGTTTTTGATGACTGAGAAGTCCCACATCAGACTGATTGTTATATTTTTTCAGATAGATATGTGCATTTACTGCATCTTATTAATATAGGTACTGTTAGGTAAGGCTTACATGAGCCAATGCTAGCAGAGTGAGAGTCTTCCGTACTCCTGCTGTCGTAAACCACAAGACTGTTTCAGTGGATATTAGTGTGTGTGGTAGCTGTTTTTAGATCAAAGCCAGCTGTTCTTCATAGGTCATAAAAGAAATAACTACAAATTACAACACCAATAATGATTTGAGTTCCTATTGACAGTAAAGTAAATGATTCTATGATGCGTTGTCAGAATGTTAGATGACTATGCAGTAAAACAGAAATAAAAATTTCTATAACATGTAAATTAATCGAATCTTGACAACAAAAACCAAGTTCACTTAATTTTCCTGACTGAACACCACATATAACTGCCGTAATCAGTATAACTTTATATTGAGAAGTGCAGCTATATACTATAGAGGTGCAAATATTTATGTTAGGAGTGATTTAAAAATACTGTGGTTTTGACCTCACACCTTATTGTAAAAGAACCAGATTTTGAATGCTCTGCTATCCAAGTAATACGTAACTTGAAGTGTATAATATTACCATTATATAGATTCTCTCTCGGTAATTTTAAACATTTCTTAACTAAATTAGATAAAGCTCTAAACCATCTTTAAATGAAGATTTGTATTCACTGCCAGTGGAAATTTCAGTGTAATTTATCTCCACAAGCTGGAGCTGTACTCTCCTTTAAAGCACTTCAATATAACACCAGCTGTGAATTTTTCAACATAAGTCAAAATGACTCAAGCATGTGGTTGATAATATTTTTACAGATAGCAGCAGGCAAAATTCTTATAAGATTAAACATGAAATAACAGTTTATTATATCATGGCAGTGAGATAAGCTTTGAACGGTATGGGAACTAAGCCCTAAGGTGGGATGGAAGTTTGCGGTAATTTGTGGTAGTGTGATAGCCATATCTAGGGGCAGGCTAGGATGTCTGGATTCTGAATTTGATTTGTATGTTAAAGTAATGAAATCCATTCAAACAGTGTTGGGTTTCTTTCTGACCAAATATTATCACTGTGGTGATGCTGAAGTTTAGGCAATGCAAGGTAGATTACATTTAAAATTGTACATTTTTTGGACTACTTCCATCGTCCTATTTTAAAAGAGAAAACCATGACATTTCACAGACTGGCTCTTTGTCTGTCTTTTAAAATAGGACAATGGAAATAGTCCAAAAAAAATGAACAATTTCAAGGTAGATTTGACTACTAAGTTTTGCATAAACTTGATGGGTATTTTGGAACCTTGAAGGTGTAGAGTCTGTTAAAAGCAGAGGAGTGATACTTTACTGGACAGTCAGGGATAGTATGGTGCCTGCTTTTATACAGGTTTGAAGGATGAACGTACTTTCATGCGTATGTCATGACTTTCTTTACATAGTTGGCTGGTAAGCTTAGGGGTTGATATTGCAGTAGATTGAGGTTCTGAACTTGTGGTACGTGGGATTTGAGGTTCTCATGACAGAGAGTATGAAGATGGCTGTCTTTTGGGTTGTGACACCATGCAGTCTGGTAGAAGTTTACTGACACTGCAGGGGTTCTTGCTGCCTCCACAGTAGCATCTTGGGATTTTCAGATGTCTCCCCACAACTCAGACAAAGGTGAAATTTAAAACAAGCATTAATGAAATACAAGTATCCACTTAACATTTAAGTATACTTTCACACGGTTGTCTTGTTTTCCATGCCACACCACTCCACTTGAGTGGAATAGTCAACACCAAGTAGTACCACTTCCGTCCACCTGCAAGATCACCAGAGAAATAAACCTCAGTCTCTCAGATCGTGTTGGAACCAGAAGTTAAATGTTTGCTACTAAACTGTTAAGTTGATACAAATTGAATGCTGTCCTACTACCCATTTGTATTGTTGTTGCTTGTACTTTTAGAAGTCAAAGAAGAGGAAAAAATGTAACGTTGCAACACAAACAGAAGATTTAAATGAAGTCCATTCAGAAAGTATTCAAGCTTGGAGCATGGAAAGGAGCGGTGAGGTGGATGAAAGACAGAGTATGGCAGAACAGGTGAAACAAGCAGCTCAGAATGCCATGCAGCAGACAGGTTTTGTTTATGAAGAGACATCTGGAATGTACTATGATTACAGCACTGGGTACTATTACAATGCTGTAAGTATGATATGCGGAATAAGACCGTGTTCAGTTTGCAGTAAAAATGGTTTTGTAGGAATTTTCAGGGTTTGAGCCATTGAAAGCTCAGTGTCTTGGATTACGAAATAAAGTTATCAACACATTGCATTGTTTATTATAATTGGGCAACAATAATGAATAAGTCACTGGGTTCTGGGTGTTCTTCTTGGGCAACAATAATGAATAAGTCACTGCTTGGAGACCTACTTGGGTTCTGGGTGTTCTTTTCAAACAAAAGTTGCTAAATATTTGTTGGAGTGAAGAATGTTTCCAATAAAAGCTGTAAAGACAATACACATGAAACAAAAATTTTATATTAAATACAATTTTTCCACAAGTGGTCTTGTAAGAAAGAAAAACTAATTTACAAAATAATTTACTCTTCAGGTGTATTAGTCTCCCAGCACCTTGCAATTGATTTCGATCTTGTTTTTTAACTTGTAGAAGAGCATCAAAAGTTATAATTCACAAATTGAAAATTTGTATGCAGCAACAAAACTTAACATTTCCTAGTTTGCTTTATGCAAAGACAGTATTTCAGGAACTGGATCTCTTTCTGTCATCAGGCATGCCTGAGGGTGGAACCTGTTCTCAGGGGCCCATTGAAAGAGCTAATCTGAATCACTGGACACTGAATGTAAAAATCCAGAAGAATGGAGGATCACCTTTACTAGGTAATGAAGGAAATTGATCTTAAGGATATCATGAACAGATATGGTATGATATTCTTAAATTCTGTATGTTTTAAGTTGACATTTCTTTCTGATTATGATATTCTTAGATTTTTAAGATTAGTTTCTTTCACGAACACATCAGGTTATGACGTTCTTTTGTTATTTAATGCAAGCAGTTCTCTGCTTTTCCGCCGGTTATTTACATCTGGTGTCAAGTGATTGAGATTAGCTTTCTCTGTGCCTGATCCTACTGATTGTGTTCCTCATGCTCAGATAGACGCAGCTGAGGATGGAACAGAACCAGTTCCTGAAATGTGTATGTTTATGAAAAGACAGGGGAATGGATAATATAAAACAAATTAAAAGTGAATGACAGCTGGCATTTTCATACCTTTCTTTTGGTATAAATAACCCTGCTCTAATCTCCGTAAGTGCCCGAGTGAGATTTCAGGTTTGTATTGTAGTGAAGATGTCATTGATCTGGCCACTGTGTGCATCTGGTAACTGGGAACTTTGACGGTTTGCAAGGAATGCAGTACTGTGGGCTGTGTCAGTACAGAAACATTTACCCTTTTTGTTATATGTCGACTATACAAGCTCAGTTTTTTATGTGGAATATGTTTTCAGAACTTTTGTTATTCATTGCACTGCTGTAAATTTTACAACCCCTGCCATCCATTTTCCTCTTCCTTACTCCACTCCCTCGGCTGAAATATCTCTTATTATCAGGTGACCTGAAGGCAGAAGAAGTATGTTCCTCTTGAACGTTGCTATCTGCCCACAAATCCACATGGCATTACTATCCAGAAGACCAACATTGACAGGGCGTTGTTATCTGACAGACTACATACCAGTTCTTTGAACGGAAAGCGGAGATATATTGTATTATGATTAGGAAATATTATTTATTGTTGATTTGTGGCATAAAATCATTAATGTTAATCTGCAGCAGGCTTTGCACCTCATTTTAGAGTTGTGAGCGTCAACCCTTCGAAAACAGAATTGAAACCTCCACTGATAACGCTCTTCAGTGGTATTTAAGAGGCGCTTATATTGCCTTTCAGCAAACTGTGCACGTTTCTGTGGGCTTGGCTCTTCTTTCTCATAGAGGAATTTTTTCTATGAAATGTCATGTAGTCAGTCTGTGTGGTTGTGGTATTTTTAATGGTCTGCCAAGACAAGGAATTTCTGCTTCCTCACTGTGAACTTCAAGCAGTTTCTTTATTACTAAACTTCTGATAGCAAGATGCAGTTATTTTACATTTTGGCTTTCCGTGTATGGCACAAAGCATTGTGTATTGAAATGTTCAGCAGCTTCTTGAATAATTTTTTATAATATTTTGCTCTCTTCCTCTCAGTTTCGTGTGATTGTAGTTTTATGTATGTCAGATCCAGTGATTAATGGTGTAGAGTTTGTTAATGTTAGGCTGCCCTGTACAGTACTAAGAGGCATAGCTCTGATACTACTGTTATGAATGTGGGTGCAACGACTGAGGATAAAAGTGATGATAACAGAGGACAGCTTTTATGATAAACTAGAATCTGTGTTCATTCAATTCCATAAGTACAACATGAATATTTTGTTTGAAGATTTCATTGAAACAGTCAGTAAACATCTACCATAGTACATGGTACAAAACCCAGAAGTCAGCCATTTTCAGAAAAAAATTGCATTCTAGAAGAAATTAAGAGAAGATTACATTCATTGAATGCTTGCTACCAAGAGCCAGGTAGTTCAGTTACCATAGTGACTGACTATGGACTGGACGACTCCTGGGTTGCAAGCCGCACCAGGTGGCTGAACGGTGAATAGACCATATCTTCTGCCAGTGTTTCGAGAGCAGAGACTGTTCTCAAAATGTTGAAGAGATATGTTTATGTTTTTACATCGTCAGTAATCTGCGCTATGCTTATGTAGCTGAAGCTGATGGTAATACTTGCGTAGTGTATGCATGATATGGTCTTTTTTTACTTCATCTAGGAATATTCAGAAAGTGGAAACTGTGTATTGTGGCAAAGTTTACACTTTTCCAGTCTTGTCAGTGAAGGTCGTCACTTGAATGTACACATTCTCCTTCCGATGCTCTCACTCTGGTTTGATATAAAATAATTATTTTTAGAAAATGTTGTAATATAAATATGGGTATAAAGTCTGTGGTATTATTCTCACGAGTCTCGGTACAAATAGAAAGTGTTTTTAATTTAATATTCTTGATACTTTCCAGGAGTTGGGTTTGTACTATGATGGTAACTCAGGTACCTACTATTATTACGACAATAAAAGTAAAGCATTCCAGTTTCACTCACAAGTTGAAGCAACTCATAGTACTGTTTCCTTTGGCACCTCTGGTGCTAATTATGAAGAACGTGGGAGCAAAAAAGGGAGCAAGAATAGGGACACTAAAGTGAGTAATGCAGTTTTCATATTTACCATTTTAGCCTTCTTGCCTCATGCCATTAACATGTCTGTATATGTATCTTTCCGTGCGTATGAATATCGTTCCAGTAGAGACTGCCTCGCCTTTGTACTTATTCACTTCTTACTGTCTGTAATGCCGGTATGTTGGCTGTACTGACACTAAGTTCATGGAGCATACACACATGCACATAGTGTTCAGTAATACTGAGAGAAATTATACAAATTGCTTTTTTTACAGAATTGTGAGATTTTTGCAAAACTCTTGTCTTTCTTTTCTTTAGAAGCATAATTTTGTTTCTAATGTTTCAGTTGCTTTATATTTTGTGTTGTGTTAGTCATCATCCATGGAATATTGTCTTACTTTTTGTTTTATGTTCTTTATTTTAGTAGGTTATACCACTGACCTCAGTCAAAACTAATGTTATAGTTCAGCCATCAGACTGCGTAGGTGATCCTATTTTTTTAGCTGTATTAGTGTTCAGAGGATTAACAGTAAACGAAGTAAATTTTGCTGTATAACGACAAGACAATAGATGATCGAACTTGAGACAAATTTTATTGTCAAGTACGCCTAAACAGTGGACAGTCATATTTCAACTATTGTCATAAACCTTTAGGGAAGTGTCAGTCACTTTTCAGATATTCATTTATTGTTGCTTTCAGATACACCACGTGCATTTATATTGTTTAGCAGGACATGTAGCAATAAGAAGCATTACATACTGTATTAATCAATGTTGGCAAGAAGTTTATTCCTTTTTTTTCAGATTCGGGAGGCTGTGGATGAACTTGTGTTTGGACCTTTCACAGTTATCTGTGGATCTGAGTAGAAGGCATGCACTAGGTAAATTAATACGTCTCTATTACTGTTATATTATAGGAAAGTAAAAGCACTAAGCATGACAGTAACAACAGTGACGCAGAGTCTCTGGAGGAAGGAGAGTGTTTGGATAGCAGTGGGGAAGAAGGGACGAGCAGTAGTGGTACAAGCAGCGTACATGATATGGATATTGATCAGGGTAATGCTAATCATTAACTTATACACTTGTGTGCAGCTTGAGAACTGTTAATTGTACAGATGAACACTTCTGTCTTTCTCTTCTGTCCATTTTCTTTCAGATTTGTGGGAACGAACAGGAGAGAAAGAGAACCTTGGTTTGTTTGTTTGTTTGTTTAAATGGCACTTAGGTTAAGAACCACCATAGTCTTATAAGAAATTTGTTGGGTGCAGAATATAGTCTTGAGTTACTTGTTTGGATGTACGCTGTGATCCATTTGGGTATGGATAAAATAAAAACGCTATGGAAACGAAGAAACAAGTGGTACAACACACGTCAGTTGCATGTGTAGTCATAAAACTTGGAAATTTGATATGCAGAAGTCACTGTTCATGCGCAGCATGAGAATCATCAGAGATCGAAGATGGCGGAGAATGCACAGTGAGCTAAGTGTGTTATGTGGTTTGCTAAATTTGAGTGTTTTAAAGGTGCAGCAGGAGTTTTGACATGTGTATATGCAAGGTGTTTGAAAAGCTCCTAATAAGGAGGATAAGTTTTTGCATGAAACAGAAGATGTCGCTGCTGTAATATTGACAGGCACCAGGAAAGGCCTGAGATGACTGTCTCTGCCTTTGAGTGTGCCGCATGTGACATGCTGGCCCATCGTCTGGCTGTACTTGAAAATGTAACTTGCAGCATATTCGAGCGTTACGTGAACAGGACCACCAGGCATGTTTTGGCCAACGGCCAGTCTGGCCACTGAAAACCCTCATGTCACCTATGAAACTGAAGGGGCAAGTCTTGAGGTTAACATTTGGTGCGCAATGACTCTCTGCAAGGTGTATGGTCATTTTCTTTTACTGGGAGACTGCGCATTGACGATCATATCTTGATATGCTGAAAGTGTTCCTCATGCGACAACCACAACAGGTAAACAATATATGGCCATTTTCTGGCACAAGGAGCACTGCTACGCTGGTCAGTAGAAGTCCATGATTTTGTGAAAAATGCCTTTAATGTTAACTGGTGTTATTGTGATGGGTCCCGTGCCATAGCCACGCGGTCTGAGGCATCATGCTTCGGACCAGTCATACAGAATGTGCGCTGGTTCGAGTCGAGGGGAAAGAAATTTCTCACGATATTTTCGACTGGTGTATAGGACCCAACCCAGCATCGTGAGGAAATTGGGGAGCTACAATGGGTAGCGTAATCCGGTCATGAAAGCTAGCAATGGCTGGAGGTTCGTCGTGCTGACCACATGTCGCCCTATATCCGGTTGGATGATCGTTCACCTCTGCTTAGGCATGTGAACGTGAGGCCAGCAGTCAAGCTAGTCAGCTTTGGCTCTCAGAGGGTTGTTACGCCACAGTTTATTATTATTATTATTATTATGTTATTGTGGTGGGCCCATTGCTTGGCCTCTAAATTCACCAGTCCTAATGCTGCCAGATTTCTTTGTATGGTGATTTGTGATGATCATTTTGTATGTTTAAAGGCTCAGGATATTTATGATGTCAAGGCAGGGAGATGTTAACCACATGTGGGAAGAACTGGCCTCTTGTGAATTCTGTCATGTCTGCAAGAGAGATCACACTGAGGGCTAATGATCTTAGGCACAGTTTCATGTCTTTGTGTGCCAAATATTGAGTTTTTAAGGATAAATATGTCCATTTTACAGCATTTTTATTTTGTCCAGATTATATCGCATTTCATGAACAAATGTGCACATTTTTGCATTCAATAAAATCAGAAATCTCAATACTTTTAAAATATGTCTCTTTTACTTAAACATTTTATATTTGCTAAGTACACACGTACACAATACCGTGTTTCAGTATAAGATACTGAATCAGTTGTCTGCTTCCCAGGTTTTCCATTACTAAATGTATTATTGACTAAGCTGATAAATCTGTTTTGTATGCAGATTTTTATTCCTGTAATGCCCACTTTGGAGATCATTGGGATCGAGGGTAACATGAGCTTGGAGATTGTTGTTCTTGCTTACGCAACTCACATGCCTGTTTTATAGATAAGTACACTTTCATATGCATATGACACTACTGATATTAATAATGTAATCGTAATTTTTTTTGCAGAGGTGTCTAAAGTTTGGCCACCATGTATTAGGATCATTATCAAGGAAACTAATATTGAACAGTTGAAAGTTGGCACTCTCTTCATTGTTACTTGCACCGGTGGAACAATGGGCCGAGAAGGCAATCACGCAGTGTCTATTCCAGACATCAATATCAGCAAAGTGAGTAAGCCCCGGCCAGTCTCTTTCTTCTTATCTCCAGTCTCGTTATTCTGTCCATTTTCTCCCCATGTATTTTCTTCCGCCGGCCGCAGCGGCCACGATCTGAGGCATGGACCTCGTGCGCCTGGCTGCTGGGACCATGGGTTCGAGTCCCACTCAAGGCATGGGTGTTTGTCCGTGTCTTTCTGTGTTTGTATAGGTAGAGGCCTTGCGTCGGGCTGATCACTCATCCAAGGAGACCTACCATTGCCCAAACAGATCAAGAAAATGAATAAATAAACCTCGACACCTACGGGTAAAAGAGATTAAAGAGAAAGAAAGAAGAAAGTACTTTCTTCCTTGTCCCACTCATCACGTCCACCTGCACATCCTTGTGTCTGGTGATCCACCCAAGAGGGTCTTGTATAAGGGCCACTTCCTTTAACCTCTCTCTTGCATATATCCACAGCAGTCATAAGCAAGAAGCGTAATTAACTGTGAATTCCAGTTATTATTTCAAAATGTGATTTAATGGGTTTTTTATGTGTTTCATCTCAGAGCTGTATTATGAAAAGTGGCTTGAATTAGACCAGTTGTTGTTGTTTCTCGGCACTACAACCCTGCTGTGGGTTTTTGCCACCTCCTTTTTGGAGGTTTCTTGGTCTTGGTCGTGCGTAAAGTAGTGAGTGACCAGCCCACTTCCTCTGCACAATTTCTACTCAGTCCTGATTTGACTACTAGAGCCATCTAGCAGTTAATCAGGAGAGACCTGGGTGAGAAATTGCCGCTGAATTTTGCTTACGAAACATCTCGTTCATGCTTGCAAGGTTCTTTTACATGCCGTAAACCTACGACTAGGGACCGCCGGCTTTACTTCCCCTCCGAAGGAAGTTGTGCTACTGATTTTTTGTCATCCTTAAAAATCCATCAACCTTGGCAGGGATTGAACCCGCGAACCTTGGGTCCAGTGGCGAGCACGCTAACCACTAGTCCACCGAGGGCGACGAATTAGACCAGTACCACTGACATAAAAAGATATGAAATATCTCCCTTTTCCATTCTTTGTACAATAATTACCATCTTGTTTGTAAACTCTGACGCTATGTTTTTCTCCTTTCAGCACCATGCCAAATTCACATTTGATGAGTCATTAGGAAAGTATTACGTGACTGATTTCGGTAGTCGTAATGGCACTTACCTGAATGGGAAACGCCTGTCAGTAGCAAAGCAGGAAAGCATTCCTCATGAGGTAGTACATGGAAGTATGCTGCAAGCTGGTGGCACAAAACTGCTGTGTCATATCCACGCAGGACAAGACACTTGTGGACACTGTGAGCCGGGGCTGGTGCAGCAAGCGAACACGGCGCCAGGTAACGTGCATCTTGTTTGACGTTGCTATATTGTAATTTATGTAGATAAAAGTTATTTGCTTTGTGCATGTATGAACGTATTGATGAGTTTTTATTGAAATTAATTTGAGAATCATTATTCTTGCATATTCTGGATCTGTTTCTTGTGAACGCATTTTAACACTTTGAGTCTAAAGAGATTTACATGCTTTTGAATTCCCTGTGTGCACACCTCTTGTCCCATCCATGCGCGCTACATGTCCCGCCCATCTCACTCTTCTCGACTTAATCACCCTGACAACACTGGGGGAGGAGTACAGATTTTTAAGCTCGTCATTGTGCAGTTTTCTCCACGCCCCATCGTCTTCCTTCTTAGGCCCAAATATCCTCCTCAACACCCTGTTCTCAAACACCTGCAATCTGTGTTCTTCCCTCTGAGTGAGAGACCATGTTTCGCACCCATACAAAACAACAGGCAAGATTATTGTTTTGTATACTTTAATTTTCAGGTTCTTAGAAATCAGACGGGAAGCCAAAATATTTTGAACTGAGAAGTAGCAAGCATTTCCGGAATTTAATCTCCTCCTAACTTCCTCACAAGTATCATTTTGATCTGTTGTTGTTGTTCCCAGATATTTGAACTTTGTAACACTTTCAAAGGATTTATTAGCCACCCTAAGATAATTTTGCCCGCCTGTCTTCTGATGAAGTATTTTTCCCTGGTATGAAACCTTTTAAAGACGATTACCTGCACGAAGGCCGGCGTCACACTTCGATGGTGTGCCGTAGTGAAATTCTTCACAGCTTTCCTATCTCAGTGTATGCTGGTGTCTGCGCACACTTCACATCTTCTTTGCCTTCGACCCTTCACTTCACCGGAACCCTAGAAGCGTTGTGTTTTCTCCCCCTACCGCAGTCTTCTTACAGATGTAGCCCCTGACTGTTCAGTTATTTATTTCCTGAAATCATGTACCACACCTTCAGAAACTTTTCGGGAGCCTTATGTTTCTTTAACTTACGCAATACATGTGCATTCAGTGTAGCTTAGAAGAAAGAAATTGTTGTTTTTCCGCTGTGTATATTCTTCCATAATATTTTGTAATAATGAACTTGATTTGAACCTCTGAGGCAATTTAATTTCTGGTGAAAGAGCCCGGTATCATCGTGGAGCAGTCGCTGTGTTTTATTATTGACTTCTGCTGACATGAATTGTTAGTTGGCGTTTTCACGATCCCACTCGCGGTCTTTCGCTTCTGAACGGTTTGTACTTAGAGTTATCACACCTAAGAACTTTTGACGACTGCTCAGTTGTCCGTCAGAAGTGACCCTTTGTGGCGGAGGATGCACTTGATTTCTCTTCGCATTCAGATCTTGTTGAATATCAATGCTTTTGGATTTCCAGTTAACGTTAGTTTGCCGTGAAGAAGAGTTACCTTCTTAGGTGAGTCTGACTTTGGTTTGCAATGGATTTGGTTTTGAGAATAGAAAAAGGTTGTGATTGAATGGGGCACCAGAGAAGCCATTTACCACATTCATGATGACCGCCTTTAGCTGCGATGGGACGTTCCGAAAATGATGAAAGCAGAGAAATATAATTAAACAACAGCGATCACATTCATTAAAAGCTTGAAATGCGCAGTTGACGAAGATACGCCGTGCTTTGAACCGTGCAGATGGGGCCCATCCTTTCGGAAGTCGTGCCGTTGCTTGTAACTTGCAGATGCATGCCTGACACGTGTCCAGAATAAATGGTAATACAATTTGTCAAGGAAGTTTAAAGAATTTTGTATTTTTAATTGAAGGACAAATTAACCTATGAATCAGTGTGCCACCCTCGTGTACTTCTTATCCTTCTTAGTACTGGGCTGTGAAACAGAACTGCGCTGATGTACGTAGCTGAAAACAGATGTTGAGAAACCGTCGTTCTTTGTAAGAACAAATTTGGTATTCAGTGTCTGAATGTTGTAATATTTGCATTTTCTTGTTTTCAGGTGAAGACAAGGCTAGAAACGAAAATAAAAAACATTGTCATAAAAAAGAGTTGAGAAGAATACGGCGAAAATTTGGTTTAGAAAGTTCGGAGCCCAACATAAAAGCTATATCTGTGCCTGGTTATGAAGACAGGGCGCAGATTCGGCGCGCCACCGTCGGCTCTCAGGACCATCACGAGAAGACACAGACTGCATTGCTAGAAGAGTAAGTCATTGCTCTTAATATATTTCATCTGCACTTTAAGGGATATTTGCAGCCCCTCAGAGTATCTGGACTTTATGGCATCGGAGAATAACGCAGGACGCAATTTCACACGCAGGTGTTAACGGTGGTATTCCTCAGTAACTACTACAGTCAGATTTGTCAGCTGCAGTATAAACCTTTAATTCATTCTACACAAAATATAATTCGTATGTTTCTGGATCTCTGAACACGACGCGTTATCTTGTGCTTGTGTGTGTTCTGCATCGTGAAGCGGCCCATCCGCATACGAGTCCGGCTCGGCTCGGGTTCCATCGAGCCAAATTCGTTTGTGGTTGGGGCGTCACGAGCCGAGCCCGGCTCACGAGTCAGACTCGTACGTGGATGGGCCGCTTAATGGAGAAGTTTGCTTCAATTAAGGTCCTGTAACATCTTCATTGAAACTAACTTTTTAATTTAATTCGGTTCATATTACCAAGTTTGTTTTCATCTCACGAGCTCAGTCGGTAAAGTGAGCAGCTTCAGCCTCCTCTGGGTTCCACGCCGTCTTCTATTTACGGCTGGCACGCGATGCTAATCGCTCGTCTCCCCGTGGTCCAGAGGTTGAGATCGCATCGAGATTTAAATGGTACATTTTTACGTCTTCTGTTTCACCTCTCGTCTCTGTCCGAGTCTTCAGAATGGGAATTTTGTCCAAGAAATTTGTTAGGAATCTTAAATTGTTGTTATTAATAAGCATCAATGTTTAGAAATTTGGAAATGGTGGTAGAAAATTGAAAAACTCCGACTCGTTCGAGACTTTGTGATGACCCGTTGAATGTTGTGATTGTAATGAAACACGAGTTGTCTTCCACGCAGAATTCCGCTGAGCGTTGTGTTATTTTTTTAATCTAGGCCCATCCATTCGGATAACAAGGGCTACAAACTTCTGACTAAGATGGGCTGGAGCGAAGGACAGGCGCTTGGCAAGGGTGAAGACGGACGCGTCGAGCCGGTGAGTTACCGCACGGTCGCCGTTTCTGTCGGCGTCGTGCGTTTGGAATTACCTTTTAATTCTCAGTTCTTTGGCTGGTCCCGAGTTCAGAAATTTCATGAGCTTTGATTTCTGTAATCTTTAAATTTTCCAAAGTTTTTTCAGAGTTTTCTGTCGTAAGAAACCGTATTTTTTACACGTGGTTTCGTTGCTCTTGCCATATTTGAGTGCATGATTGTCGTCGTCGCTTTGACATCGCCTTCCATAAGTTCGGTATCTATTAAAGGAGTGGCAGAGCGTCTCTGCTCTATGGACGAGTCAGCACGTGCTGCAGAGGCATTTTAAAAGAATTTTTATAAATCAGATGAGACATCTTGAAAGCGATCTTCTTCAGCACGTGCTGACTCGTCCCACCATTTCTGTCAGTGCTGAACCACCCCTGAGCAGAGGACACAGACGGACTACGTACTACCCCTTTACGCTCTCATGGCGACAGCTCTGCAGCAGAAGCAGAGTGTTCATGTTAACCGTGTTAGCCCGGCTAACACTTTAGAAGCCATAAGATGAAAAGTCACTGAGATGACGCTTGTCTCGGTCGCTGCAGGTCTTATTGGCCATTTGTGAGTGTAGGCTTGAGGGGAAGAGCGAGCGAGTGATGTTCCGATCTGTCGCGTTAGCCACTCATTGAATGTTAACACACTTCACTTGCTTGCATCTTGGTTTTCTGCGCAGCGTGTGATTGTGCATCATGGAAGATGAAGTCTGTGACTGCATTCTAGAGCAGGGGTTTTTAAACTGTAGGTCGCGCCTCGTGGGGGACACGAAATGTTAATTTTTGGGTGTGAAGTCCATTCGAAAAATTATCTGTTTGTCATCCTGTAATAAATAATTTCTCTGTAACTTTGCTCTCGTTGTGACGTTTTAGTCCAATCTCCGCCAGTCTCCGCGGTATGGACCAGTTCTGCAGTAACCTTGTTCCAGAAGTTGCCACCTACCCCTCCCCAAAAAAGTCAGGGCCGCGTCCCTACAGAAAGTCGTCTCATCCAGCGTCGGTGAGTCGAGCATCGGAGCGACGTTTTCTGAAAGGCTAGTAGCGTCGCTTCGTCGTTCCTTCGTACGTCTGATCGTCGTCGCCCCCCTGGGTTGCTCGTTAGTGCGAGCGTTAGATTTAGATTCCTTCTTCTTGTTTCTTTTTTGTTGTTGTAATTTTTAATAAATTCTTCGCCGTGGACAAATGAGTTCTTCGCGACACGTGGAAATGAAGTGCCAGTGGACACGTGACGCCAGAAAGCGTCTCTGTCGCTGTCCCAACAGCAGGCAGCGTTGAAGAATCAGACATTAGTGTTAGAAGTGCATTTTATCGGAGGGAAAGACAGAATCCATCTCGTACGTGGATTTATTCCACTGTCGACGGCGATCGGCTCTCACAGTGTTCGATTTTTCTCTCAGATGTTGGCAAATGACAGTTTCGAGTCTGTTATAGTTAAGACACGTGAGGCTACAGAGCCGATTTTGCTTGTAAAGAAGGAAAAATTGTTGCCAATTTCACGAATGTTGCTTAACTTTGTTAATATTTAGCTCAGATTTTCATAGCTTTCTTATACGATGTAAAAATTCCATCGCCAACATTCTTATTTGGTTGACACTTCTGATAAGGTCATGCTCCGCCACTGCTTAACATGCGCAGTGGCGTATGATGAGTCACTGTTTGGTTTAGGGCTGTGGGTGTCCGCCGGTTTGCGGGGCGCAGGGAAGACGTCAGCTTGCAGGGAGAAACACCGCGCCACTGATGAAAACTGCGCGAGGCCTCTGTCGAGTTATCGTTTCCTTTTTACAAGTCCGAAGTAAAATCTGAGAACGAGAACTTTGTTGGAAATAAACCCAAGTATTATCTCGTCTGCATTCATGAATAAAACATTTGGCTTAGATGTATTCAGTTTTGAATATCATTTTTGTGCGTATTCCAGGGTTTTTTATTGGGGAATCCAAGAAAAATAAAGAAATGTTCCCTGGAACGAAACGAAAATTCGAAACGCTTCGAATCTGTCGCGTTCAGGGCTGGGGTCAAGCGTCAGTGGACAGTACGAGATGACCTCTAAGGCGTCTGCCTCATTCCTTCGTGTATTTTCGTTGTCTTCGTGAACAGTTAGAAATTGGAACACGTGGCAGACTCCAAGTCGTTCCATCCCCACGATTCTAATTGGCATATAAAATGTAGTACCATCTCCTGTCTGCGAGATTTCTGCACGGCAAGACTTTTTTTTTTAAATTTTTCCCTGTCCGTCCGAGGAACATTGGCCGAAACCCGACTCCCTTTTATTCCAGCCCGAATGAAGCCCGATCTGCCGTAAATATCACACGATTAAAATACGTTTTTAATGTATAATTCCAGTTTTCCTTGAAAGATATTTTTATCGACGCTATAAGAAAATCTGACGTTATTTTGGCGTCTGAGGAACGGTAAAAATATTTTGGATGCCAAGTTTTTAAGTTGTTGTTCTTCGAACTATTTCTGGGAAGGGGCAGCTACGAAAATCCCCGAGAAAATCAAGTCGGTGGGATTTGTTTCCCGTGAGCCCGGCGTCCGGTGATCGCAGCTACGAATACATTTTTCTTCGCGGAAAGAGAATGCTCTGAGACAGGCCGAAATATTTAAAATTACGGCCCGGACCGGAATATTGTCTGTGGACCTCCAGTGTCTGCCGCGAAACCCAGGTTCCAGCAAGAACGTAATCTACCTGTCTCGAGTACTAAGTTCAGAGTGTGTACAGGAATGTCTCCATCTCGAGGTTGGATCAGCTGAAACGTGTCGGAATCTCGGGGAAGAGGAATGTCTTCATTTAGGTTGTCCGTAATTTTCCTCCGTTGTTCCAGGCGAATGACCGCATTTCCCCACATTCTTTACCTTTGTAGCTCGTGATCGTCCACGTGGCATTCGATCGCTGTAGTTGATTGATCGTCGTTGGGTAACCGCCGCGGATGTGTGCCGTCAGACGCCGTGCGCCACGTAAATGCGAATAAGGGTCTATTTATATAGGAACGTAAAGGTAACGACACGAGCACGACACGAGCCCTTGCCGATTTTTCAGAAAATATTATTCAACGTTTTTCAATGGAACTGTTTATGTTGAATCCGAGCTCGTCCGTTCCACGAACGACTCTCGCCCGACTTACGTCTCCAACGATATTTTTCCTAAACAGTTCCAACGAAAAACGTTGAATAATATTTTCTGAAAAATCGGCAAGGGCTCGTGTCGTGCTCGTGTCGTTACCTTTACGTTCCTATATAAATAGACCTTAACATAAATAATTTTTCCCTGAAATTGGGCGAAAAGGGGCGAGAACCCCTGGCGTAATGTTTACGTCTTTTATATGGCCTCGGTCGTTCAGTAACAGATTTAAAATACGAAGAGATGCAAGCATCGTGTTTCTGCTCAGAAGCATCTTTGCGCATGCGCAGACGCCAGCATGTGATGACGTCACTCGCAGAACTCGCAATTACAAGAAAGGGAATTGATGCTACAATCGGCAGGACCATTTTATTTCCATATCTTGATTTCTTTATTTCCGGCGCCACCAGAACAAATCTTTGTTACGCAGATATACGAGGCGTTTGTTACGAACGGTAAGGCGACAACTGTTTCTGTTTTCTCAGTTGCCTTCGGACATCAAAACGTTACGTCCTAATTGTTAGGTCACGTGTGTACCTACGTCAGATTGTCAGCTTTGAACAAGAAGTTGTCTTAGGCGTGAATGTAGTTAAATGGCTGAATTCAAAGCAAGCAATTACTTTCGTATGTTAAGTAAGCTTTATAATTTATATCATATTACAAGTACTTTAAGTCGGTTCCATGTCACTTAAGCTACCACCTGTTTACCTGTATGTCATTTCACCTACGTTTCGTTTATAATAGTACATTTAATCTACTACAATTCGCACTTGTACTAGTTTCCACCTTCATGATAGAACATTTAGGTAAGAGTCGAAAGATTCCTTTCGTCACGTTTCTGTAGACTAGGCACGAATGCTATTGGGACGTTGGAAATACGAGGATGACTGTCGAGGTTCCTAAAATAGATGGTAGATGGCAGTAGACTGTCGAGGTTCCTAAAAAAAATGGTAGATGGCAGTAACAGTCTTAGCGCGGACAAGCACAGTAGCAAATGTGTATGAGGTCGTATGCTTACTATGATTTATAGGTTATATTTTATTACCTATAAATCTACGTGAAATCCTGATCTTGCACAGTAATGATCAGAGTCACGTGTTTATACTAAATCAGTTGCAAATTTTGTTGTTCCACACGGAGATTTTCTTGTGCGGTACGATTATACGAACTGGATCACCAGTCTAATTCAACGGAGAACTAAAGAATTTCCTTATCCAAAGGTAATTTGATAGCAAATTAACGCGCCACACGTGACTTGGTGTCCTAATTATCCTTCATTGTTTAAAAGTCCGTGGACGAATAAGAAACATCCTGACTGCGTCTTGGACCCTGAGCAAAACTAAAGCGGGTCCCTCCCTGTTCTGGACGAGGCTGGGTCCCGGAATCGGCGCTTCTTCTAAGTTTTCTCACACTCCCAAGGAAGAAATTAAGAGATCAGCTTCGTAAATCAGAGATCCACGCATTTGTCGCTGCAAGAGGTCTAGGGTGTCATCTGACTGTGGAGCCCAGAAGCTTCGTCAAAGATTCTGGTACGACACGATTAAATCTTTTCCGCTGAAATTGAATTCGTGGATGCGTAAGTAAGTTCTTGTGCCTGGCTGGAATGCGAAGAAGGTCTTGAGCTGTAAAATAAAGCTTGCTGTCAGAAGTGAATGGGCTTCTTTTCAGTTTTTAAGAGGGAATTTCAAGTTATGTCCCGAATAAAGGCGCTTGTCACCTTGATTTTTCAACAGTCTCGTAAAGACTTAACTTTTGTGCCCCCCCAGACTTTGAGTGGTACACGCATTTTGCTTAGAACGGGATCGGACGACACTTTTAAATTTCAAACGTAAAATTTTACCCTTTACCTTG